GCACAAACTAAAACACTCCCACGAACTAGGGAAATCCGTCTCATACTGTTTGTGAATCGTCTTGAAATGTCGCTCCCAAGTTACACTTTTTGGATAAGGCAACGCTCGAATTACAGATGAGGCAAATAGGCTTTGAATTAGAATAAACAAAAAAACACTCCTCCTCCCACTCTGTGTGAAAATAAGTTTTCGTTTGCTAGTTTTCCACCCACGTTTTCTCTGCATCGACAACTCCACCACTGAACCTAAAGTCTCGTCAGAGCGCTGTATCACCGCACCCAAAACTCGCAAGACAACATCTGTGAAAACGCAAGAGGGGGAGGGYGTAGAGAGCGCGTTGCAGCGTGCTGGAGTGTGTTACTTAAACTCCCCCCACTTCCACCACTTCTCCCGGAGTTAAAATGAAGCTTAGCGAGCAGACACGTCACCTTGCTAACAGCTGATAAGTCGGCTCACAAGGTTGCGCTTCGCGGGCTCCTGGGAATCAGCTGGCAGGCACCGAGTCGGCTGTGAGCGACGGGTTGGGCACGCCTGATGTACAAGGTTTGACCAAAGAGGCTAAAACTTATTCTTAACATAAGTATTATAAGAGAATTAGACCTCTGTGGATTTTTATGTTTGCTTCTTTCCTTTAACAGCTCTAACTAACACTAACCTGTTCTTTGTGTACTTGTGTTATGTTCAAGAAAGATAAAGCAGTCATGACATTACAGTTTTGTTTGTGTGTGTGTGTGTGTGTGTGTGTAAGTACAGGTGCTGCAGAAGGTGGACGTGGTTGAGACGATGCGAATTAAAAAATATCAAAAGCTGCGAATTTTCAAAGTCACCTTTAACTTCCTGCCTCCTGATCGTTACCGTGACGACAAGCTGTTGACTCCCCATCAGATCCTGCACTTCATGGAACATAGGTGTGTGTCTGTTTGTGTCCTTGGTGTGTGTCTGTTTGTGTCCTCGCCTTTTGTTGCCTTTCTGCAGTCATCACCTACTGTTACAAAAATGAATGTAAGTCAGTACAATGTCCTCAGTTTGATGCAAATACACGGATGATGATGATGATGATGATGATGATGATGATGATGATGATGCCTTTATTGTCGTTGTACGGAGCACAATGAAATTACATTTAAGGTCACCCATTCAAGAAGACAAACATCACAGACATGGGAGAACAGGTGATCAGGTCATGTGGCAGCCAGCAGGAGTAGTGCTACATTTAAAAAGAAAAACTAAAAAAACACACAAGGATAGATGAGGGGGAAAAACAAAACATCATATTATATCAACAAATGTGACACACTATGGTGTTTATAAAAAAAACCTAGATCACATTTATTAGCCAGAGGAGTAAGTGAGTTTAGAGGGTGTGTTTCTGAAGCCATGAATGTTGTGTGCACTTGTGTGAATATATGAAGAATGAGACAGAAGAATCCAGCCCCCCAAAAGAAAAACCCCATAGTTCGGCCATTGTTCAGAGTATTGGTGTTGAATCGTTCATTTTGTACTGCTTCAGGTTGTCCTTTAAGGGATCAGGTTAGACGGGAGTGAGAGGGGGGAGAGGAGGTGAGAGTGGGAGCCACGTCGACGTAAACACCAGGAGGAATTTAGTGCCACAGTCTTCTCAAGGTCACATGGGGGCGGGGCCTAATCTGTAATCAGTTGTTTGGGAACAGAGAAAATGTTTTGAGTCAGGCAGACGATAACAATTTTCCATCTGCCTTAATGCCTGCTGGTACATCTCAAGGTGGCAAATCCAATCAGGCAAAATAATGTGGRCAAATTCTGCCGAGCCCATCCATCAGCTTCTCCAAGATCAATTCCATCTGGCCAGCAAAGTCCAGGAACCACAGCCGGCCCRCGACCCTCAATASAGCCGCTTGTAGACTGAATCCAGCTCGCGCAGGGCCTAGTCTGAGTGCTGATAGAACGGCAATCCTTCATATTGGTCAGTCAGCCAGGAAATGAGAAGCCACCAACGTTTTTTATAGAACACCAGGAGACCACCAAGCCAATCTGTAGAATCCAGTGATCAGAATCCAGACATAAATCCAGAAGAGAGCAGAACAAATTTATTAAGAGACCAGCTAACCAAATCCATAACAATAAAAATATCCATAAGTTTTGGTTTCGGATGAAAACGTAGAGAAGTCTCCAAGCAGCAAAGCAGGGAAAGATAAGGAAGGGCAGGAGAGAAGTGTGTGTGTGCGTGCGTGCGTGCGTGCGTGCGTGTGTGCTTGTTTTTGTTATCTTTTTTAGTACTGTTTCTGGTATACACACCTACCTTGTCAGGACCTGTAGTCCTACCAAAGACTGGTCCTAATATGGTTGAACTCCATTTTTGGGTTGGGGGTTCATTTTAGGACTAAGGTGTGAACTTAGAGTCAGGTGTGTACCTGTGAGGTTAGGTTTATTGATGTTGGTCAGGGTTAGGCTGTCAGTAAACGGTCCTAATAAGTATAGAAACACATGGCTGTGTGTGCTGGTTCATCCTGATGCCACAGATACCTAACCATATCCTTCCCTGTTTGTCTCTTCTACCTGTGCTGTCAGGTTCTTCCGTCTCCTCCTGGAAGCTGTGAGGAAGCGCACAGCCAAACTGGCCTCCATCGCTGTGGAGACCAGGAAGGCTACCCTCAGAGACAAAGATGATGTGGAGGAAACAGCAGGCACAGCTGGGGTCTGGGTTCACTTTTATCTGTGGACTTACTCAGTCTAAGTGTTCATCTCCATAAAGTGTGAGGTGAACCTGGCCTTTGACTCTCTACAGGTGGGTGATGGAGAAGCAGAGGAAGACAGAGACATTGTTGATGACCAGGGGGACGAAGGAGACGCTGATGCATCAGATGCCAAGAGGAGAAGCAAACAGGAGGAGGAGGTATGAGCCTTTCATGGAGGGACTCCTCCTGTCCACCTCACTGTGATTTCTGAATACATCTAGGCAGTAGGGCTGTAGTGATACACTAATCTCACGGTACGATATTCAATATTCTGCTCACGATACGATATATATCACGATGTTCAGCGAACGATACGATATATATCACGATGTTCAGCGNATATATATCACGATGTTCAGCGAACGATACGATATATATCACGATGTTCAGCGAACGATACGATATATATCACGATGTTCAGCGGACGATACGATTCGATACGATTCAATTTTCTGAACTATTTTAGAGGAACAGAGTGATTTTGGTGACATTTTGTGACTGTTCCATAGACTTGGATTGAATTAATTGAACTGAAAACTGATTAAAAGCACCAACTACACAATATCTGCTCTGATTGGACGGAGACCTAGTCTACAGCTGGACAAATTAATCAAAGTTGTGGTGAGAAAATTAGTTTTCTTTAACTGAAACAGTGCAAACTGTAGCTTACAATCCTAAATAATATTTAGTTCTATTCAGGTAACTTTGGCCAATAAAGAGCAAATTTCCCAAATCTGCAGGATTTGTTGTTCATGATGAGAGGAATTAACACAGTTAAAGACTTGGAGGTAAATTATTTTGTTCCCATGTTACAGAGGGGGAACAGATTATTTTAAACAACTGAAATATTTKRTWTATTTATTTATTTATTCATTTTAGAGTTTTTTTAACAGCAGCTGATGATTAAACTGAAAGTTACCTTGACAAGATTATGTGAGTCCTTTTACCGAGACATTCATCAGAAGTGCTGTGAAAATGGTCAGATCTGCCTCTGACTGCAGTGTGCCCTCCAGACACAGGGGGGGAACAGATTTTCATACAACACCCCCTAAGCTTAAGGTGCTAAGACGCATGCCTGTCTAACCTTCTGTAAGGTGACTGACTACAGTCAGAAAAAAAGAGCGCCGCGGACGGGACACTTTAATTTGTCTTAAAATACAGACATTCTGACWAATAAGTAACTGTTGGTAACCTTACCTCAGCTTAGTAGGCAGAGGGTGTCGATCTTTTCTGCTCAGATTCAGCTATCGGTGCATGATGCTAGGAGCCAAATGTCTGGCTCACTGCTGCCAACTAGTGGTCAGAGGCTGAACTACAACAAAAATGAACCATTGGCAGGAAAGTTGACATTTTAAACCTTAATTAAAAATCGATACAGGGCTTTAGAACATCGATACAGTATCGGAAAATGAAATATCGATATATATCAGTGTATCAATATTTTCTACACTCCTACTTGGCAGTGAGAAGGGTGGAAGTCATCCAGGGCTGACGTATGGTCTGTGTGATCACCCAGTCATGTTGTTGAACAACAAACACATCAGTCAGTGACACAACACTGATGATAGAGCTGCAACCGTCAGTTCAAAAATAATGGACAGAGTTTTATTATCAGTGAGTTGTATYATTTAAGCATGTAAATGTTTATTTGTTGGATAAATTAATTATGAAGACACGAGGCATGATGAACAAGCAGCAGGTGTGGTGGAGCTCTCTTTTACCTGCAGCAGGGAGTTCATTACAGCCAAGCTGCAGCAGCRTCATACAGCCAGGCTCTGAAGCTCAGTGTCCGGTTGTCCTCAGGTGTCTCCTGCAGGTCCTTCACCCACATCCACCTGTCTTATACAGCTGCTGAGAGTAACTGAACTAAGTTACTCTAACAGCAGAACTGAACACAAGCAGCTATAAGATGTTAAAACAAACAGATCAACAGCATTCAGAGGTCTTATGAGCCATGATCTTTAAATCACATTTAAACCAACACTCAGTGAAATACAGACCCTGCTGGGACCAGAATCACTGCAGTTTGTTTACAGTCTGTAAACTAGAACAGGACCTGGGCAGGGCTGCAACGATTAATCGACAGCTAGTCGATTATTAAAATAATCGATGACTGATTTAATAATCGATTAATCGTTTTCTTTTTTGTTGTTCTTTACTTTGTTTTTGTCTCCAAACGTCTTTGACAGCTTCCACTGCCACATCTGCCTTTCTGTCC